CGCGCGCCGCCGGCCGTGCCCGCTCCCCGTCCCGTCCCGCGCGCGCGGCTCCCGGAGCGGCCGGTACCGGCTCCCGGCGGGGGGAATGGGCTGGGAACACCGCGGTGAGCCCGTGCATCGTACTGGGAGCGCTGCGGGAGTGATGCCGGGAGGGGAGTGAGAACGTGGGGAGAAGCCGGACAGTAAGACTGGGCGCATTGGGAGGGAACTGGGAGCACTGGTGGAGAGCCAGGAGTAGCCCTGGAGTAGTGGGAGGGGAACTGGGAGCACTGAGGGTAGCCACGAAGCGATAGTGGGAGAACTGGGATGGCGTGAGAGCACGGACTGGGAGCCAGGGGGTGATGCTGGGAGTGAACTGGGAACACTGAGGGGAGCCAGTGAATGATGCTGGGAACGCTCATAATTGTAGAATGGATGGCGTTGGATGGGACTTTAAAGATTATGTAGTTCCAAATCCCCCGGCATGGGTATGGGGACAATGRGGGGATGGGGGTGGAGCCAGGGAATCCTACTGGGAGCACTGGGGCGAGCCAGGAAGTGACCCTGGGAGTACTGGGAGGGAACTGGGAGCAATGAGAGAACACAGTGAATGATACCGGGAGGACAAGGAGAGCTGTGGGAGCGCTGCGGACAGACAGGGAGCGGCAGTGGGTAATCCCYGCGCCCCGCCTTCACCTGCCCCGCTCCACGCCCGAGCAGGAGGGAGCGGCCGCCGCGCCCTTTCCGGGGCGGAGGTGCCCGCGGCGGGACGGCGCCGACCCCCGCCCGCCCCGGCGCCTCCCGCGGCCGCCCGCAGCGAGGGGACGCTGCCCCGGCGGAGCCCGGTGTGCCTGCTCCCGCCTGGGCTGCGGGACGGGCCGCGGTAAATGCTGCCGGTACCGTGCGGCGGCTCCGAGCTGCGCTGCAGGCGAACCCCCCTCGGCTGCCGAGGAGCGGCAGCGCTGCGGGAGCCCGGCGGGGACAAAGTGGGACCGGCCCCCCTTGTAAAGGAACAGATAAAGAAACCTCTGTGCAGTGACAAGGCTAAACATCACAGCCCTACTGAACCCCCAGACAGTAGAAATTACTTGGTGACAAGTAGAGGGATAAGCGGAACTCGGCAAAAAAACGCGCACGAAAGAGAAGTAGCATGTAATTATTCCTTTTTTTTTTTTTTTTTTTTTAATACCCTGGAGAACACCTTTTAGATGTTAAGCCCTTTGTTTTTTCATGCCATTCATACCAGAGAACTCGTTCAAGTTTGCCGGAATTTTGTTGGTAGTCTCAGATTACTTGTGTATTACTCTGTGCAACTTAATATGAAAGGAAGGCTCTAAAGCAAGTACTTTCTCAAAAATTAATTGGAAATTACTAATTTGATAAAATTTAATCTTTTACTAAAAGAGTCGGTTTTAACAAAATCAGAATTTTATGCTCRTGAAAATCCATTCCCTTCTTTAGCAGCAATCACATAAGCTGTTCTTTATTGCCTAGTTCATGGCTAAAACAACACAATTTTTGCTTATTTGGGTTTTTGTTTTGTCACAATTACGTAGTTCTCTGAGCACATCAAATATTCTACCACAAAGAATGCACAAATTTCCAATACAACAAATGTGGAAAAAATAGAAATTGCACTATTTGAGACCCTTACATAAATACTAAGAGAAAGGACATATGACTGTTTGTTTACAGGTCACCTTTAATGTAGGTGCATTATATACATTCAGCAGTTTTTATTGCTGGTTAGATTGCAAAATGTATAATTTAATGCACACTAAGTGCACTGTGGTCAAGCTAATGTTACTGTTCAAACTCAAAAGTGACGTTGGTCTAAACCCCAATTTTCATCTGGGTTACGACTAATAATTTATATTCCTTTTGCAGCACCTCCCATTTTCATGCTCCTATTTACAGACCCAACACTTCTATGACATAGGTTTCTGTACTTGTATTTTAGTTTCAAAGCATCATCACTAAAATGGAAAGATGAAAATAATTAAAAGATCCATGRAACAGCAGGATTTTTTTCTCAAAATTGGCAATTCTGCATGAGTTAACACAAAACTACTTTATTTTCAGTTTATTTACATGAACAGGGACATATCAATATTATTGTGCATGTAATCAGTCTTTAAGAAACTAGTTTATTTATAAAAAATACAGAAGAACTTAATAATGAACATAAAGTGATAGTTTCGAAATACACAGATTGCAAAGCTGAGACAGGAAATCATTTCTATTGCTTTTTAGCATACATCTGTCTAGCTATTCCAATTTCAAAGAACCCATGGAATACTCATGTTTGGTAATATTTTACAATTTATTCCRCTTTTATTCAAACAGTACCATTTAATCAATCCAATATTTTTAATGACATTCCTTCTTACCTGGGTTTGGAATGAAAGCAAATTTTCAAGTTACGCAGAAAGTTGCTTTCTGAAGTTTTCTTTCTTTTAATACTTGCGATAATTTCTTTCATCCAAATGCCGTGGTGTATTTTTTCACTTCATGAAGTGTCCCTGTGTGTGATACCCACGTGACTCGGTGCACCTTATGGAGCATCTCTGAAGGGAAGGAAGTTCACATGGTGAGCATGAACATTATGGAGCTATTCCTGAACTCTTTGCTGTCTCCTCAGCTTCGGTAACCAAGATGGGGCTGTAAGAAACATTCTCCTCAAATCCAGAGCCTGGAACCCACTCATAGGTGTAGGCTGGCTGCATTCCCTGAGGTGAAAAAGGGCCCAAGGCTCCTGTCCTCACTGACTCAGTGACTCAGACACACACACATGCTCAGATACAGAAATTTCCAGGCTACTGCTCAAGCAAAGCTGAGCCATTTTTCTGCCCTTCCATACAGTGCCAGGAAAAGGAGAGAAAAGAAGCACAGCTGGACTCTCAGCACATACTGAGATGAAATCCCAGCCTACATTAGTCCTTTGTGCCCGTATTTCCACAAAAAGGGCACCTAAATGTGCAACCCAGAAGAGAGCACTGGTAGGACACTGAAAGGTAACACAGGACACCTTTGCTGACTGAGCCATGCTTGTGCAGGGAGCACTGCACAGCACAGGTATTTGATTTTTTGGAGTGACAAGCTTCTCCAGGGTCAGTGTGCAACTGAGGAGGGTGTTGAGGTCATACTTTTAGACTTAGGTACTGCAAATCTGCCTAAGTCAGGCTTAAGGTGCCTGAGTCCTTTATTGGATGTATCCTAAAGTGACCTGCTGAAAGTCACGTTGTGACTTAGCAGTCAAGCCAAAAGAGGAGCCTTGATCATATTGGTCATGGATCTGTTCTGCCTATTATGCAATGTTTTGCTTTTAAGCAATTCATTAAACTAATTGTCTTTGTCTTTGAATATGCCATCACATTTATTTCATACCTCATTTCTCATTTTAAAAATTCCTAAAATTACCTGCATGCTGTATTTCCTAAATACTAAATTGCTAGATTCTAAATACTAGACACTAAATTCTAAATTGCTTTGTGTTCCTCCTTCTTATTCTTACTGAATGATTTCTTGTGAACCATTACTGACCTTTCAGCTCACTCCCGCCCACCCAGCTGAMTTTATCACATTCTCTAGATCTTACTACTTACCACAGAATCTCACATCCCTTCTGATTTACTTACTGTATCAGTACAGCTCTTCTTGAAACATAGCTCTTATTGTTTAAATAGCRTTAGAAACCAAGGTGAATATGTTAGTGTGCAGAAGATTTCTTATGTACAGTTGTATTTTCTGTTACTTTTCAACACTTATTAAGTTATGCCATTTCATAATTGCTGTGAAAATGTTGAGAGACAGATTCAAGGGCAGCAGCTCACTGTATGCTGGATTCTCTTCATGAGGGGGTAATAGATATTTTACAGTTTAGTCCAYCATGATTTTGGAAGATGTACAGGCAGGATTTAAAGCTGGGCTTCAATAAAGTGCCACAGTTCTCCCAGGCACACTGGTGATACAGTATAAAAGGATAATAGGGTAGACCTCAGAGGATTTTGATTCTAGATTTTAGTTTAACATCTATTTAGATTGCTGCTTCCTATTATGGTAGTGACTATGTACCTCTAGTAGCTCTGGCAAAGTTACTAAATACTTCTTGAAGAAAAACTATATGGTGRTGATAAGAGTTGACTTGGGCATCATATGTGAGAATAGTGTGAGGAATGGGAAATGGCAGAGATTGAAAAGCTGGTAAATGTATGCAGCTTATCTGCTTGAGAAAGTGGTATGTGCTTTGAGTGAAATTACTTATCCTGCAGTGTTCTTGGCTTTTCCCATAAAGATATCACTCCCTAACTGTGTCTCTTCATCTATTATATTTCTGAAAAGTTGATGAAAAGAACAACTTCTTCTCATTATTGAGTCACCATATATTTAAACTAGTTAATCTATACTAATAAGAGAAATTATTCCCTCAGTGGAACAGATATTTATGTCTTATCTGTTGAAATAGTATTTTCTCAGATCCTTCTGAATATTGTTTGTGAAAAGAGATACCAGCAATAATTCTGAAGTCTGCTTTATATTAAAAACATTTCACTGCCTGTAGTTTGTGACAGATGTACTTCATTTGAAGAAGAATATAATTAACTGTTACTGTGCTATTCTGAGAACTTACCTGCCCAGGACAGATAACAAATTGAAGGTGAAGACAAAGCAAGTAAAATGACCAGCATCAAACCACTCTGTTGATGATTTTAGTAGAAGTAGAGTAGCCCAAAAGRCAGAGGGAGACTGAAAAAACTTTGGACATTGAAGATCACTTCACTCTTTCCTGACTTTCTTTGTCTAAATCTGGTTTTGGTTCCCCCCCCCCCCCAGAAAACATGTATGTGAAAAAGAGACACAGTTCTGACTCTTTGACCTGTTTCTAACCTCTGGCAATAATGCATAACTTCTCTGACAGTCAAAAGCTAAATGCACTGTCATTATGACAACACATGAAATTCCCACATTCTTGCTAACAAAGGTGACCTTTGTTAAATACTTAACAAAATCCTCTAAAAGAAAAGAATACGGCTTCTAAACAGATGCAATCAAACAAATGCATGTCAGTTAAAATAATTTGGCTGCAATCTTCTGCCAACTCAGGCAGTCAACTGCAATTACAACCCAAATTTGTTCATCTGCTTTACTTGATCCAAGAGATCCAGTCCCTGGCTGCTGCAAAGCAATCCTCTTCACCAGGAAAGGCACAGCAGTCAGGAAGGTCTTACTAGTGGCACAGAACAGTCACATGGACCATTTGGAAGACTTGCCCCATGGCTGTGAAACAGCGTGTGAAACTCATTAAGAGGAAGCCCAGCCTCCACCAGAGGAAGCTTCTCCTGGGATGAAATGCTGTTGGCTGCTATGGTTACTAATGTGATTTTCCTTTTACTTCCTTGTTCACTCACCTGCTTTCTCATTCAAACACCACGCACAAGTACCTCCAGAGATATTTGTTGTTGGAATAGTGACAAACCTCATTAGTGGCAGCCATGCACAATCAAAGAGAAAAAATATACAAATGATCGGCAAATAAACAGAAGAAAGGAAAGTGCCAGAATCGATGGGTATTGTGAATAATATTCTGTCCTTGCTGCTTTGTGWACTTTGTGTTCTCTTCACTTTGGATTTGCATTAATGTTAGTCCTGCCTTATGTCTCTATTTTACACCTCAGTGCTTCGATCCGGCAGAGCTCCCCACMGTCAGACTCCTGTGACTGTAGAGCTGAGTGCAGCATCAGGATCTAGATGAGCAAAGTATTGGGGTTTATTTTTGGTATCTTAAAGGGACAAGAACATTATTTTGCTATTTTATTTTTGGTAGCACTTCACAGGTCTTGTTCCCACCTTTACATACTTTTTTTCCCCCTTTTACATATTTCTGATCAGAATGTCTCACTGTGTAGTAGTTCTACACTGTGAAATTGTGAAATTCCAAATAAATTGCATGTCTTGAGGCTACTTTTTTTCCAAGTATAAAGAAAAAAGAGATAACTTTTTTAAAAGTGTGCGAAAGTTCCTGTCACGTATGGTAAAAACCAGATGGACTAGTTAGTACAAGTAGAATTCATCATAACACGCTTCCAGGTTAGGGAATACTTTTTGACAATACTTCGTAACCATAAAAGCAAGCAGCTGTTCTTCCAAAAGGATAGTAAATAATAGGGGTATCACTTTTTGGCTACTTAAATGTCATCTGTAAAAATATTTTTGTTTTGATGCAGCATTCAATTGAATCTGGAAGAAATCTTTTAGTGGTTTGCCCTTTCCCACCAAATAAGGCACTAAATATAGCAGTATCAGCATTCTGAGCTTCAAAAAAGCTGTGGTTCAGGTTTCTCAGGAATATCTGCTTTTTTTTCCTGACTGTGTTCAATTTGTTTTATAAGTTTTTATTTAGGAAGCATGAGTAACTACAAATCAATATATAAAGTACCAGAAATATTAAACACACYACAAAAATGAACCTTTCACTTAGATAATGATGCAGTGATACTGTTATCAGATTTTCCGTTTTTAAACTAAYAGCTAGCTGGAGGACAAATTCCTAAGAAATGGAAGCACTGCAGTCTAGGGCACTCTGACTTGTCCCACTGCCCTTTGCATTGTTCCTCTTCTGTTCCCTCTTTGTTATTCTTGGAAGCTGCATGCTCATGGACTGGAAGTGGACAAGTAGTGGAGTAATGGTGGGAGAAAAAAGTCCTCTTCATGCCTCCTGATGACACCCCACAGGCAGCAGGGATGGAAGTAGGATGGCTACAGTCCATTTTTTTTCCTCTATATAAATCCCGGGTGACAGTGACACAGACTGCACCACTTCCATTTCCATTGTCCAGACATATCCTCTCAGATTAGCAAAAAAARCCACTGGTCCAATATATATTTTCAAAGTAATTTTTGGCTATGTTTTCAGTATTAATGGTCTATACACGTTTTTTTCATCTGCCTGTAGCAAGGGTCAAAACTGCATTTGTGGTCACAGCTTACTCTATTGAGAAGTAGTTATTTAAAACAYGGCTGTTTTCCCTTACTGCAGCTGTGTCTGTCTCATCTCCTTGAACACTGCAGAGGCTGGGCACGATGAACATTTTGTGGCCTGGGAATCTTGCTGTGAGGGAACATGGTGAGACTTAGCATTTTGGAGATGGGTTCAATGAAGTGTGTGAGATCCCCGAAGCTTTCAACCATGACATTCAACATTCAATTCCATCATGTCACTTGCTGTGAAATGTGTAATGGCCACAGCCATTGGGGTTGTTTTTTTTCCTGTTTGCCTGTAATTTTAATAAAGTTGCTGTTACAGGTTTGTTCCAATTGACATTTCTATATTAAGCAAAATTGCTTTAGTTAGTAGGCAATAATTCCAGGAAGAATGTTTCCTCCTGACAGAGATGTATTATCACCAAAGGGCTAATAAAGATATAAATTAGTCACATAAAAAGGCAAAAATAAAAGTTATATTAGCATTTTCATTRTCTTATCTTTCCTCTCCAGAGCACAGCCTATTATCTTGTAAAATATCTCTATATTACATATAATTACAGAAGTTTCAATTCTGTATTCTCCTTCAACATTCCACACATTTAAAAC